AAACTTTTCACATGCGTTCAGTAGTTCGTTTCCAAGCTACGCGGAAAAATCTGTGCATTAGAGTAAGAGATCACGTATCCTAATAGGAGATCTAAAATAGTATAGGAGACCACGTATCCTTATAGGAGATAAGGAGATCCTAAATTCGCTCGCTGCGAATTTAAGACCGTATGACCGCATAACACGCACATGAAAGAGAAATTGAGGAAAAAATCACGACTTATTCCATTCATCATCTTTTGACTTAATAAATGCAGGTGGAAAGTTTCCTAGAGCTTCGTTTATTAATTTGGAAGAGCACATTGTTAATTATACAATCGGCTACTGAAATGCCGGTCGGTTCTCCGTGTAGCCGTACAACTCTCAAATAAAGGCGAAATCGGAAAAAATTGTCATGACCTTAACTTCGTTGTTAGGGCGAGGAAAACTGTGGTATAGGTCTACTGACTCACAAAAGAAATCGCGAATCACGTTTCGTATATCTTGCTGTATAATTTTCTCGTACAAAATTAGAATTCGCAGTAAACTATGTCTGAGCCCTCAACAACACTGCTGAAAAAAAAACCCTTTCACACACGACGTGAAATGCGGCAAACGTCCAAAAACACGCAGCGGTATTTGCCGCGTAATCATTCACACAGGACGGCAAATGCCGCTTGCGTAAAAAACGCAACGGTATTTACCGCACAATCATTCACAAGAAACGGCTTTTTACGATTGAATCTATCAGTATTGCACCTTATTTCAGTGCTGTTCTCCGAAAGTGGTGATCAGTTTTTGTCATCTCTATAAATGGCTGCTCTAAATCTGTACCACTGTACCAGACTAACTAGGAGGTCTGGATCGAGGAGCGTCAAAAACCTCTGCGTCAAAAGCCGCACAGTGCGAACGATTACATTGAATACCATTGCAAGCTAAACTGTTGCGGCAAATGCCGCAGCAGTTTTGGAAGAAGACGCGCAGGCAGCATGCGTCAAATTTGACGCTGCGTTAAAACCATCGTGTATGAATAGCAGAGACGATTACGTTTGTCCGATGAGCTTCGACGTGAAATACCGCTGCGTGTGTTTTGACGCATGCGGCATTTTATTTCGTGTGTGAAAGGGGCTTTAGAGGAAGAAGTTTGCCAGATAAGTCAGATCTCGTAAGCCCGCCTCAGGGCAAGTGAGTTGTGACTCTCGTCAGTCTTCAATGAACCCAAAGGTCTCGGGTATCTATGTCCATAGTCAAACCTCAAACTCTCATGCAAGACGTCAAACGACAAACATAGCGTCCGCATGGTCAGTCTTGCATGTCAAACTTGGCTTGACATGTAAGAATGACGATAAGTTTGAACACGAAAAAGGTTTTCTTTCGCTAAGTTTTTTAACCATTTCATGACTGACGGGACTGTGACGTCCCGATCAATGTTTTACTCCACAACTTGCATACAGATACAGCGTACCATTCGAGGCATAGCTATAACTACAGGGACACATGAGTAAACTCCTGCGGCTATGTCAACTCAGAAGTAATTGACTGACGGAACTGTGACGTCCCGCCCAACGATTTACTCTATAACTTGCATGTAGCGCCAAATTCAAGGCATAGCTAACTACAGGGACATATAAGAAACACTCTTGCGCCTACTTATGTCCAATCTAAAGGAATATTATTATTTGTCCTTTTTTGGGATATGTTATTATATGCTATTGCACGCGTTTGCTAGAGGAAGTTTGTGATATTATTCAACTACTAACAAAAAATATTAGAGAAATGTTTTTTTAGAAAAATCAGTGATGTCGCAAATTGGGTTACCTCAGTTGTAACCATATACTACCGGGATTTTCTAGTCCCATTCATATAATTTTTACCGTTAACATATTTATGATTATTTTTTTACGGAGATGCAATATTCAGTCCAAGTTCATGATGATTCTGTAGAAAAATACGAAAGAAAAGTTGTAGAACACATTGCAGTTAGGAAGGGTTAGTTGCGTCATCCAAGCCAAAGGTTGCAAAATTAATGGCTTTTGGGAGAAAAATACCCGATTTCATCGATTTGCCAGTTGCCACTACTTGCTTTAGTCTTTAGATTAGTATGTCTTAGCGGTAACACTTTAGATTAAGTGCATCCAAAAAAGGGTGTTTTTTTTTAATTATATGTTTTTTGGGGTGTAGATTAAGAATCTAAAATCCGTTTTTGGCGGTCGGCATTTTTTATATATTTTCTATAGAAAACGAACCTAACCTAACCTAACCTAGCGCGATTTTTGGGTTTTACATAGGTTTACAGCCATTCCCAGATCGATATAGATCATTTCCAGTCTGTAAACCTATGTAAAACCCAAAAATCGCGCTAGGTTAGGTTAGGGTAGGTTAGGTTCGTTTTCTATAGAAAATATATAAAAAAAAATGCCGACCGCCAAAAACGGATTTCAGGTTCTTAATCTACACCCCAAAAACATATAATTAAAAAAAAACACAATTTTTTTTAGATGCACTTAATCTAAAGTATTACCGTCTTAGCTCGCGTTATGAAACTGCTTTCATTGAAACCGAAAATCGAAATTCTAAATGAAAATTAAGACCTAATGAGTCATGTCATCTCCGCCATTCCGGCCCATTCGTCAGTCGTCATTATGATTGTAACTAACAAACCTCTATGGTTGAAACAGGAAGCTACTACTAGGCAATACGCATCAAGTTCTTTTGTTTAGACGCAGTAGAAAATTTCGCTGCAACTGTGTTGAACGTTGTATCAAAACTACCAGTTTTATTACTGTTATATTACAATTACTCAAATATATAGTGTCAGTGTGTACTGTGTCTGTGTGATTGTTGATTCAAATTAAAATAGGTACCTATTGTTGGGACATTCTCACGTTAGACGTCTTCAGTCAGTCACAGAAAAATCAACCTAGTCTGGAAGCGGCCCAAACATGCAATTTGGGACTGGGAAGTGTAATATATAAACAACAAACAAGTTCACATTGAAAACTCAAGATTGTGGCTCTATGAATAATATCCTATCTAATTTTAACAAAAGCACACAATCAACTTGAATCAAGCTGAAAGATCCCAAAGAAATAGAAAATAGGCCTATGTCACTTTAGAGGCTTAGACTAACTTAGAGTTAGAGCCACAATATTTTAATGTTTATTAGGAAGTTTTCAAGCTTGCTAGGTACTTGCCTAACATTGTTACTTGAAATTTGAAATTGACAAAGTCAGTGAAGTGGCAACTGGCAAGTGGCAAAGAGCTGATCCATAGGGCATCCTGGCATGGAATGCTGCAGTGGAGTGTGGACACTGGACTGTGGAGCAAATTCAAACAAAAGTGGCAACTTCACTGACAAGTTGCTTTATTACAGGATTATCACCAAAATGGTAAAATCATTTAGAAGCCACACATTGATGAGACAAAAACTAACAAGATAGGTATGTTTGCAGTTTGCTTGACACTTTCACAGGGTGGGGATTCACTTTCACCTATTACTATGACCTCTGACAGTCTGACTCTGAGGCAGTGAGGCCCTGACTAATTTCTTATGCAATAATATAAGAAAAGCAAATTTTTACCTTCATTATTTTAAATTCCTCCAAGAAACAATAATTTTTTATCTGCAATTTTTTTAAATTTCTTTATAGCTAATATTCCAGAGGACCAGAATGAGAATGGGATAAGTATAGGAATAGGATAGGAAAAAGCTGAAAGGTCATGGATATGCATTCCCTATCAAAATTTGGCGAGCCTGAATTAGGAACCGCCTAGGACTCGGACCGAACGTAAATCAGCTTCTCTATGTCCGCTTTTTGGTCTACATTCCGATCCCCGATTCAGACGGCTACCAGAGCCTGGTGAGGGGACTGAGGGGATTCTGCCAACTCTTGCCCTACTCTCAGTCTCAGGAGACTATAAAGTTGGCCAGGAGGTTCTGACTAGACGCTGATTGCGATCAGTTGGCCAACTGACCTAGAATAACTTTGCGCCGAGCCGCCGAGTGTAGTGACTATTCGGCCGGAGCCTAGGCAGTCCCCGAATTTTGTTAGGGTTACTATACATATGCATTCAATTCTCAATATCAACAGTTAGTAGGAAGTATTTATCTTAGTCTTCTGTCTTCAGAAGCAGACAGTCAAAATTTGATAGATTATAAACCATGTTGGCTGTTGGGTGCCCGGTGGCACCATTCTAAAATGTAAATGCCTTCTTAATTTAATGACCATTCACTAATGGAATTTTGGATCTTGCTGGCCAAAATTGGAGTGCACTTCCTGAAATAGGAGTGCACAGCCGCACGCCCTGGATGGCTAAAGACAAGAGCACCTCAGCCAATAAATCATGCCATTATCATGGTCCCTGGTTCCTTAATCCCCAGACCCCAGTCATGCTTCTTTTTTTCCCCTCAGTGCCCTCACCCTCCTCAAGCTTGGAGCACTCCGGTGCTGCTGTGTGACTGTACAGATACTAAAATTCCAAGCTTCCAACATGTTAAATATAAACCTCCTCTAAGTCCAACTGTTGAGTAACTAATATCTCATTTAATTAACACAATCTACTCCATTCACTTGATAGATTCTGCATGAAAGGCATGATGATGTCTTTTGCCCCCTCATTGAGAGAAAAGGTGGTGTAACTCACTCAACCTAATTGATTCCCTTAGCATGCACATGCACAGTTGATTAAATGAGCTGATTTTGTACTTAATATTTTCATAATTTCCACCATAAATTTTTCTTAACAGACAGAATTAGAATTTAGCTAACAGTCTGCCATCTTCAGACTGTCCAAATTTATTGATTCTAACCTAGTAATCAGGACAGGAAATTTCCAGTTTTTATAGCTTTTTAAGAATATTCAATGTTGTTGGCACAAAATGTAACGCTATAGAAAATAAGTTGCTTGGAAAATACATTAATCAGTCTTATTTGTTATGCTACTGAACTCTGTCATATGTCAAAATTTGAGCTAGTTACGGATAAAACTGTCTTATATTAATGTTCTATTCTGAATTCCAGAGTTTGACTATAAATTTTGCTATGGAAGGAGTAAATATTCTGGCAGAAAAAAATGGCTCTATGATAGAAAATCTTGGTTTGGATCAGGTTTCCTCTTCCAGCAAGGCAGAATGTGTTTCTGATTCTGTTGCGTGTTTGTCTCTAAATGAACCAGCATTTAAAGAAACCTTCAGTAATGGCCAGCTAAAGTGTGAAGATGATGGGAATTCAAAACCTCATGACTTGGCCGATGCAGGAGGACAGGGCTTTCTGTAAGCAACATTGAAAGACAATTTATTGATAATAACTAGATATTTTTAGGTGCTGTATATATTGCAGTGCTGAGTATTGAATATACATGCTGACTTTAACTTAGAGTAAATCATTCACAAACCAATTGGAAACAGAAAAACTAATACCCTAGAATTGATTTTAATTCAGTAACTTTCTTGGTAAACATTAAAATGACTATTAACAGTTGCCTTTTAATCTATTAAATGTGGCCTTTATTTTAGCCCAGGGCCAGCCTATGGTTCTTCTACTGGCCAGTCAAGAAGAGTCATCCCAGCACATACCCCTTGGAAGAATTTGTACTACAGAATGGACAGTCAGAAGAGAGGTTATTGCCTTGTCTTCAACCACAAAAATTTCCATCCCAAAGTCAACATGAATGTAAGTTTATGTCTGAAATTAAGTCAATAACCACATTTTCTCTTCCAGTTTTCTTTTGTCTTGTTAGCTAAATTAATACAAATATATTCATCAGTTTTCAGCAGTATATTTATGGGTAAAATTTTGAGTGGCTACCAATAACGATAAGGAAATGTATTTTCTTGGACAACGCATTTAAATATAGGTAGCGTATTTTTATAATTCAGGGTATAATTTTTTGTAATATACGGTATCCAATATAATCCTATGCTCCCAATTAATTATATTAAATGTCATGTAAAATAATGATAAATAGGATAAATTGCGATGACCTAATTTCAGACACGTAAAGGAACAGACAAAGACCGGGATGATATTGTGAATCTCTTCACCAAGCTCAACTTCACTGTTCAAGTATTCAATGACTTGACTCTGGACTCACTGAAGAAACAGCTTGATTATTGTATGTACTTGCAATTCTGGGAACTAGCTAAATAAAAATTAAGACTTGAAAAGTTTTCTCTATTACAAAGGAGTGCAGATCAATCAGGTGCATTGCTCACTTGCAACATTGCTTATACTACTGATAATGTAACAAGTGCTTCATACTTCTCATCTTAATTTAAATTCTTTAAATGTAATTATTCTTCACACTAGATGCTTTGGGAGACCACAGTGCCTATGACTGTCTAGTTGTCTTCTTCTTGAGCCATGGAGAAGATGGTGTGTTCTATGCTCAGGATGCAGCTTTCCGCCATGATGAGCTCTTTGATGTGTTTGATAGCAGCAACTGCCCAACCCTGGCTGGAAAGCCCAAGATCTTCTTTATCCAAGTAATGCCTGTCATTATTAACATTGATAGTTCTACATTATTTTACAATTATCCTGCAATGAAACAAACAGACAGATAGAACAAATTTCAAATCTTACAATGAATTTTCTCTTCTTTTGTCCTTCAATTTTCTTGTTTTCCTTCTTATTTATTTTAAAAATATTTCAATATCTCATTTCAAATTATTCTCCTCCAGAAGTGTTCTTAGCATGAATATTTATTAGGTCTCATCTTGTGCATATTATTATTATGCCGTTTTTGCTTGGAAACATTCTCTATTGGAAGAAAGGCTTTTCGAAAATGCTGAGAAAGATAATATCAACTGATTGTTAAGTGTGCAGTGTTACCAACTGATTATATACCATCCAGGCATGTCGTGGAGGACAGTTGGACCGCGGCGTCCTGATGGTTGAACAGACTGACTCGCCAGGGTCAGAGTACAAGCTTCCCGTCACTGCTGATTACTTCACCATGTGGAGCACTGTTCCTGGTACATGCCTGCATGCAGAAGTTTCGTCACGTCCTACTAATCTAGTTTAAAAATTAATCAGAGATGAAACATCCTTTTCTGATTAGCAAGCAGATTCAACAGCCTGTTGATTTTGGCTACCTTGAACAACAAAGAAGAGAATAACATTGTAAAAAACGGCTTGCAGCTTTACTAGTGTTAATCGGCAGTGTTGCCATGCAGAAAAAAAGCAAAACATGACAAGTCTTCTGATTGTTGCTGTTTATATAGGATATTTTTAAGTTAATTTCTCAAAATTGACTTGCATTTTTTTGGTTCTAGGTTACTATAGCTGGCGCAACACTACCAACGGTTCATGGTTCATACAGTCGCTGCTGAAGGTTCTGCGCAGCCACGTCACACGATTTGACATCGCATCTCTCCACTGCCTATTAAACCAACACATGATCACGGAATACGAGAGCAACACGCCTAGTAAGTAAGACTTTAATTGGTCTTCTCCACAGTCGTGAATTTCATCATAACTGGATATTTTGATCGAGCAGCAGACAATATTAATGATGTGGTAACTTATAATTAATGTTAACTACTTCATCTCCCAGCACAGTACCTATTAATTAAACTTCATAATTAATTTTCATCTCCCAGCACATTAGCTCAAAAATTGCAAAGTACCACTCAAAAATTGTTGCTTTCTACAGTGGTTATACTCTTCTTTGTAGAAGTATAAATCTTTTTATTTTGGTTCTCTGTACCTAGCAAGTTTTTTATCATTTTTGTCTAAAAATGTTTGTTTCTGCAGCTGACCCTGGTATGCACAAAATGAAGCAAGTTTCTTCATTCGTCTCCACGGGCACGCACCTCCTGCACTTCTTCCCCCCAACGCCTAAGAATTGACTGCTTTGGGAGCACTTGAGTGTCACAGAAGCTTCTTCGTTTCCTGACTTGAGAAATTTGTCGGAAATCACGGCTGGTTTGATAGCCGGTCAGCCGTACAGCTCAAGTGCTACCAACTGTTATGGCCCTGAGACAAGAAGTGAAGAACGTATTGTAGGGTATGTTTCTCCTTTCACTTCGCTCTATCGACCTTTGAACTCAATTGCTAGACTTTACAGTCCTGTGTGTGCATCTGCTCAAATTGGGCTTCATGTTCAGAAGTCTGAAGCTTCTATGAACCATCTTATTCATGTCGAGAAATGTTGCCTGTTTCTGTGCCATCCTCAAATGTTCCTCATGAGGCTGCTTCTACTTCTGAAAAAGTAGAAATGAATCTTGGTCCCTCTTTGTTGAATGACCATCATGTGAACAACAACAAGGAAGTGCCTCTGCCCAGAGTGCAATTTAAAGCCACCGTTGAATCAAGCGAGACTCGCAGCCTTGTTGCTTCATCTATTAACCCTCTCACCAGGTCAGAAAAACTTACATCTAGTGAAGTCTCCCACAAAACTCCAGTCGTTTTAGAGGAGGAAAAATTGTCTGGTGAAGTCTATTTGCACAATAAAGAGCCAGCAAAGACTAGAACTGCCAAGCCTAGTGCTGAATGCCATAAAAAAAGGCGTTTCGGCAGAGTCTCGGATTATTTCCGAGCTCGTTGGCGGAGACTCAAAAAGTTTTCATAAAAAGATTGTGAATTCTGAAGACTTCAGGTGACGGATAATTTTGACTTGGGTGACCTTACTTGGTGTGTTGTTTGGAAATTGATGAGTTGGTTAGAGTTCAATTCTCTAATTACTGTTGCTTGACGACTTGGGAGATGATCATTAACTTTGAAAGAGCATCGTCTGAAAATTTAATTACTGTGAAGTTTTCCTATCAAGCTCGTCGACTCTAATTTATTCTTCAATTTATCAGAACTGAAAAATTCACGTCAGATTGCCACATTTCTTGAAAATGGTCTTAAAGTCAATTTTGTTGTAATGTTAGTATATGGGTATTTGGTGGATTTTGTATTAACCCATTATGTCAATTTACTGTTTATTTTATGATATTATGATTGATGTTATGTATCTCATTCTGATATTATTGACGGTAGCGATTATAAAGCAGTGGAATAGTTTCATATAGAAGTTCATGCAAAGTTTTTGTTCACATATTAACAAAAAAATTCTTCTATATATGAGTATAAAAACTACCATTATAATTAATTAATAATTTATTTATGAAAATTACATGTAACTTTTTTCTCAATTTGTTCATTAAAATTTGCTTGAGGTTGCAATGAACTGATGGAAACAATTTAGTATTCAACGCCTCCATTCCTATTTGATTTGCTGTAATGCTATCATCTGACCGTGGAGTAATCCGTCCACTTTGCTCTGATTACACTCGCGCTGGCCTAGATGTGTTCAACTAATATTGCATTCTCAATTATTATAACATCAACCAAGTGAAACTCCTCCAGTAGTTTAAGTTTGATGTTCAATCTTTGCAGTAGGTATCTGCAATGGCCTCGCTTATTTTTTATGATAAATAATACAGGAAGATTTAAACGCCGTATAAAATAGTAAGAGTTTCAGTTTTTGTTTACTTCCATTATATAATTATCTACATATGATTTAAAAAGATTGTTTTGATCTCAGGTGTGTAAATCTCAAGAATTCTTTACCCGTGATCTCTTGTACAGGCTCGTCCAAGGAACTTGTACCTGTCTGCGTCCAAGAAAATAATAGTGTGATAATGACGACCTGGCAAATTGTGAGCTCAATACCTTACCTTATGATGAGTTTAGGACTTCGTAGTCCAAGGTCACGCTGATGCGCCGCCTTCGCTACCCTCAATAGCTACCTACCCTCAATTAGTGAGCTCAATAGCATTCCTCTCAATTAGTGAGCTCAATAGCTACCTACCCTCAGTTAGTGAGCTCAATAGCATTCCTCTCAATTAGTGAGCTCAATAGCATTCCTCTCAATTAGTGAGCTCAATAGCTACCTACCCTCAAATAGTGAGATCAATAGCTTCCCTCTCAAATAGTTAATGAGCTCAATAGCTAATTAAGACGCCATGATAGTTTATTAAGCTCTACTTTAATTGTGACAGGTCTGCTCAGTTAACTCTCGCTCAAATTTTGCACAATAATACAACTTCATTAATTTTTTTAAAGGCCTTGCGAAATACAGCAAATCTACGGATAGCTCTGTAGTCTTGGGCTTTTAAAATGTATTCATGGACTATAGAAATATAATGGGATTTTTCTCTGTTGGTTGACGTGAACGTATAGATTAAGTTTGGGTCTCAATCTCGGTGCACATATTGCCCCATCTACCGCTTTACTCTATGATGATACTGCGGCCATTTCTCCTACCATAGAAGGCGTTTTTCGGTGCAGTTATGTGGCGGCAGGAGATTTGGGCCATGAATCATCACTTTGCTCATTGAGATCTCGTGCATGGACATTATGTCTGAAAAGACAAACAGTGCATTTTCATCAATAATGCAATCAGTTTTTGGAGTTGAAATAACGTGTTAATGTCTGCTGATTTTGACGCACATGACAACTCTGAGCCTTATATCAGAAAATTTGCAACGTGTGTTCAATGTGGTGTGTTCGTAGTAAATTGGTGGTTTCATGACAATAACTTTAATAATTGACTTATCTCAAGTGATGCATTATCTGCCATACTAAACGGTTGTGACACTGTAGTATGTGAGCCATTGTTAGGGTAATAATATCAGGTCAAAAATGTAGTGGTTTAGATTAACCATTCGTGGAAATATCAGTCCTAGTATAATGTTTTTTATAATATAGATTTGCTAAGAGCTTCGTCTCAATCTATGAAATCTGCGTAAGACTGCGCGTTGCATTTCAGTGCGACTTTGATAGCCGTGATTTGCTGATGATGATTATCTTTTATTTGAAGATTTTCATTCAATTTCATCCAGTTGCGTTTGCTCATGCCGTTTTGAACGGCCTAAATTGAATCTTTAAAGTTTTAAATTTTGTAGCTCTAAAGTGGAAATTGACGCTACCATCATTCGCCATTCTGTAACAGGTAACTAATTTTTCCGTGGATGCTGTGCGTCGTTATTTTCCACCCTGTGCCTGTATCATCAATTGCCTTTGCAGTAAAGTGCCTTAACGAGCATCGACCAATATTTGCCTTTTACGATGCACCAACTTTTGAATGCTCTGTCCATGTTCGTAAAAATTTTCGTTCGTAAATTGACTTGGTCAGGATTCTAGTTACATTCAAAAGATAGCGTTAACATTATAACTTGAGGTGACTTACGTATCATCTAAATTAGATGGTTTCTATAGATTGTTCGATTTAACCCTAAAATTTAAAATAGAGCGTAAATGCAGCTGCATCCCTCTGAGTTCTGAGCCTTTCACAGTTCATCGCTCACCTGCTTTCCCTCAGTTTTCTCGTTTTACAAATTTATCTTGCTGTAAATCAGGTGAATTAGATTTTTTTTGGCTAGCCAAATGACATCAAAATGATCTCTTGATAAATTTTATTTATTATAATTATAAATTCTGATTCTTTTTCAAAATAAATTTCTCAACTGTGTCATAATTGTCAACAGTGTCACGGATTTATTTCATGATCTATTCACCGTTCCTTTTCTGTCACTTATTTATTCATATTATTTTATTTATTGTATTTCTTAGATATTATTGCATGTATTGTATTGTACTGATACAGGAGCAACTTGCTCACGTTGCGTGGTATTAATTTTGCTTTGTAGAGTTTTGATTCTCGTGCTTAGTTGAAATAAATATTATTACATTTTGTGGCATTGTATGGTTCGACGTAAGTTCAAGGGAACCGTACTCGTCTTCATCGTCAATTTCTATAACTTGTTCAAATTTCTCACTTGTATGCGCTCAAGCTTTTGTGGGAAGATGATATAATTTGAACAATGTTATATTCAATCCTTCATATAATTGGTCATTGTTGGTTACCATTCTGCTTACAGTAATTCAATTCTAGTTTAGTCCCTCAGGTTTTTTACATATTTGAACCAGACACAAATTTTTCCAACATTCCCTGTTTTCGAACTGTGTAATCATGCGTGTACCTATATCCTTAAACTATAATATAGGTTTAAATACAATGGTTTATTGTATTGCGTTTCGTTAACATATCCTAATAATCCGTTTTGTGTGATAAATTCTAATTCCCCTTGGCACGAAAGTTGTGGGTGATCTAAACAGAAAATATCCCAACTTAGATACTTCAATGGAGACAATTGCTCAGAAGATTCAGAATTTTGGAAAGTTGTTATACCTGCTGCTGGCTTCCTGAATAGAATAGGATAGAAATGTCGGCAGTGAAGAAACAGGCCCATGGCCTGTTGCCGATTCTTGTACTTTTGGTGACTTGATTCCACAAGGGATCCGGCCTTCTGTACCCGGTCTTCTGCGCTCAAGCCAGCTCGCGAAGCAATCAAGCAAATGTTAGCCGATGGTATTATTCGCCCTAGCCGCAGTGAATAGGGTACTCCCCTACATATGGTCCCCAAGAAAGATCATTCCTGGAGGCCAGTGGGTGACTATCGCGCGATCAACAAGATAACTAAGCTTGATACTTACTCCCTAACTTTCCTAACAGATTTCACTGCAGAATTTTAAGGTAAGAAAAAATTTTCACGTTTTGATCTAAAATCTGCATTTTTACAAGTGCCAATCTACCCTGATGATATTCCAAAAACCACAGTTGTAACTCCATTCGGTTCATACGAGTTTCTCATAATGAACTTGGGCCTACGTTACGCTAGTCAGACATTTCAGCTTTTCTTGGATGAAGCACGTCGTGATTTGGCAGTTCCCTCAAGTGTGGGAGGATATCGTCTAGTAACTTTCTTCAACTATATCGACGATATCTTGGTGAAACGCCGATGAACAGCATCTAGAAGACATGCGTGCCTTATTCACGCGTCTGACTCACCACGGCCTGAAAATCAACCCGCTGAAATGCAAGCTCGGCGCGTCACAACTCGACTTCCTGAGCCACCGTATCACAAGCGAAGGAATTGGTCCTTTGCCAGAGTAAGTGAAGGCAATCCGGGATTTTCAGCGACCTGAGAAAGCCAAAGGCCTTCGTCGGTTCTTGGGCATGATAAATTTCTATAGACGTTTCATGCCTCGCGGCGCGTCAACGCTTGCTCCTCTTAGAAAATTGGCAAGCATTGCAAGCACCAAAAAAAAAAAACACTCTCAAGGGCATCAGAAAAAATTGAAGCCTTTGAACTCTCCGAGAGCTATCTGGCTGAAGTAACGATGTTGTCGCGTCCAATTCCTGACGTGGAGATGTGCATTGCCTGTGATGCATCAAACACTGCTGTGGCAGCAGTTCTCCAACAGTCAACGGAGTAAGCATCCTTCGAGCGTAGCCTCTTGCACGATGTAATATCAACCGGTGTATTGAGTACCTTGCTGCAACAGTCTACAACAAATGCCGTGTCATCCATCGCTCGATCCTTCCCATCAGACGCGGTACTTTCGGGGATACCAAACCAAACCAGGTTGGACTTCCTACGCTCTCTATCAAGTAATTCACGTGAGCTTTCGCTAGCGCCTTCAGATAAATCAACTCTCTTAATGGCAGTTTCAGCGTTTATTAGGCCGTAGGCCTGTTGCTGATTCTCAACATCGCAGAACATTCACATCATAATGCGGCCTCGAACTCGCAACGCACTGCTACAATTCTGCTTTGTTTAACCGCCCGGCCTCCCTGCCGATTCTGAACAGAAACTGGCGCACAGAGCTGGGATCGAACCCGCGCCTCTCTGCTCCAATCCTCGTGCTCTGAACTTTAACCCCTGAGCCACCCTGCCCCCTTTAACCACTGGGCCCCCACTGGGCCACCTCTTGTTCTTTACTTTAATTTCTTCCGTATTTTTCAGCTGAGCCTTCACTTCAGTCAGCTCATTGCATAACGAGCACAGTTTTTCACTCAGCGAGCGCACCATTTCACTCAAGGAGTTTCATACATCATTCAATGATTTCGACTCATTGTGCTCTTCTACCGGTTTCACGCTTTTTGGAGCACCGAGAGTTGGTTTCTCGCAGTCACAACAAAACCAATGAAGTAATTTCGTTTTCTGGTGAAATAAGTACACTTCTGAGCTCAACTTTGAACAGCTGATACAAATGAACTCCTCGCTACGTTCACAGGTGACCGTCTGGTCATCCTCGCTCACAGAGACTTCTTTGCAGTGCATGCAAACTTTTATTTCTAACAGAGACGAGTTGATTTTTTTTTCTGGCGGAATAAGGGGACTTATTCTCTGTCCAACCATCGTACAATGCTGGGAGAAAAACACAGTTGTAAATTTGGATTTAGTTGAGTAGAGATAAAGTTCTGTCAATACTCTGATTTAGGCCCACAGCTGAGCAAGGGAGTTACCGAGGTGGGGCTGTATGAGGGAATAAGCTGAAAAAAAAGAACTGAGAAAAACTTGCTTTAAAGGTAAAAACGAGTTAAATGGAAATAAAGACACGAGTTGAAGCCTGAGTCGTGCTGAGTGGTGTTCAGATTCCGTCGCAGACACGCAACTTGCAGATTGGAAGGCGGTGAAAAGAGGCTACCCATGATGGTGGGGAGGGTATAGGAAGACGAGGCCTCAGATCGTGCTCAAGGCTCCGTTGTTCTCTGGTGCGATCAGAGGTGGGCAGTAGCGCGCTACATGCAGCGGCCGCTACATTTTCAGTAGTGGTAGCGGCGCTACATTTAAGCAATTGTAGCGGTAGCGGTAGCGCCCGCTACATATTTAAGTAGCGATGCAAGGTTTTGCCGCTACAGCGCTACCGCTACATTTATAGATAAAGCCTTTAGATTTTACTTAANTAGAAATCTATCTTCTCCTAGGATTTTAAAGCTACAACATCGAGACACATATCATTCGTTGCGTAAAGACCATATCTACAAACGTCACTTAGCGGTTTTTCAAATTTCTCATTTTTGTAGGTGTGAGAGCATTTTTTCCGATATTTTTCGAAATTTTTCGATTTTACATCCGCCCTCCCCCACTTTTTTCAAAATAAAATCCGATCTATAACGAAATTGGAAAAACGACAACGTGACGATTGTAGATCTTTCATTTTCTAATCGAATGGTATATGTCTCATTGATGTGGCTTCAAAATTCTAGGAGGAGATAGGTTTTCCATGACAATAAGTATGAATGTTGAGGAGAGCTCGACAAAGTCCCGGGCGCACTGCAATAGGCGCTCAATGTAGCATAGATACCAAAATAAACGTTTCTGGAGCTTGATTACACTCAAGGATGATGGGAGCGACTACAAGCACATCTACAACGCCCGGAGGCACACTGAGTCAGACCTCATAAAAACACTGTATTTGTAGTGCTGAGGCAGCGAATTAGCTCCTATGTAATTACTGTAAGAATTCTACCCCGCCCCCCTTTCATGAAGTGTTGTGAACGTATAAATCAACGTACAGAGATGGTAATGGTATCGTTGGATAGGCCAGAATGTCAGCTTTAAGATGAGACCAAACACGTAACTGTAGCACAACTCAAGTAGACACTATATTTAAAGAGCTCAGCAGCTAATTAGTTCCTATCTAATTACTTAAAGAACTCCTTCACCTGCCCCCCTTTCATGAAATGTCGTGAAATCATAAATCAACGTACAGAGATGGCAGTAGTACCGTTGGATAGGGCAGAATGTCAGCTTTAAAATGAGTATGAAAATAAGAAAAGTGAAAATTTTCAATTTTACCCTAGACGCTCCCCTTAAGTTATTATGTAGGTAGGGTTCCTTACCTTTCCCTTCTCTGTCTCTCTGGTGCGGGCGGCCGAAGTCCCATGTAAGCGACCTCTTGTTCGAGTGTCTTAGTTTCTGTTGCTTTTCACCTGTCCCTCCTTGTCACCTGTCCCTCCTTGTCACTTGTCTTTGAGATGCATGTCTTTGAGATGCTAACGCTGCTTCTCTCGAGCAAGCTTCAGCGGGCTGGATAATTGAGACCTTCCGCCCCTTGTGGGTGATGAATAATTTGAGATTTTGAATGATTGAGACCTTCCGCCTCTCTGGCGATGTTATATTTTGACCTTCGGTGCGAAATAGCTTGATAGCTGATGCGCTAGCAAACCATATGTGACCGGAAACACCGCCGCGAAGTCGAAATAGTTATGGGTCTGTCTCTTATACACATCTAGATGTGTATAAGAGACAGATCTTAAACTAATTCCAAAGAGACCAAACTCTCCATCGTTCACGACTGCCTAGCGCGCGCTATAACGAGGTTAGGAGCAGCTTGACCAATCACGTTGGAGCCACGCCCCGTCTCGTTCCTAGACTACAATCACCTCAGCTAGACAAGTTTCCATGTTACGGTCACGAAATACATATTCGTTTACACATTGTTTAGTCATAAATTAAACCCTTTAGTTAACAAAATAATAATATCACAGTTAAATGAAGTTCCTTATTTCAGTCACAAAATAAATGTTACATCAATTGACTGGTCACTAACCTAGCACAGGATTAATAGAACGTACAAATAAAAAAAATATACCACGAAATGAGCATCCCGTCATACATACTACTACTACTACTACTACTACTACTACTACTACTACTACTACTACTGCTACTAATACTACTACTACTACTACTACTACTACTACTACTATCAATGCTTAATTTGCTCTCGATGTACAAGTCCAGTTGGTGAGTGACTTGGCGGCTTGAGAGCAATTTTTCAATTTCCCCTTCATTCGTGAGTTATAGAGCCATTCGGACTGAAATTTGCAGTGACCAAGAAAATCCTCCTAAACTACTTAACAGATTTGAATGATACTTTGAATATACAAACCTAACCTCTCAACGGTGATGTTTACCTCGTGACAATTTTTTGGACTTTTCCATCCTTTGCGAGTTATACGGTTCTTTTTCAATGTAAATTAAAAATCAAACTCAGAAATGCCTGTCGTTTCTCCGCATGTCTGTATAACTCGCGAACGAAGGCAATATCTAAAAAATTTTCACGAGCTAAACATCCCTATTTAGAGGTTAGGTTTGTATATTCGAAGTTTCGTTCAAATATGTTAAGTAGGTTAGGATAAATTTCCTGGTCACTACAAATTTCGGCCCGAATTGCTCTCTAACTCACTAATGAATGTGAAATAGAAAAAACTCGAAAACGAAGGTAAAACCGAAAAAAATTGTCTCGAGCTAAACATCATCATTGGAAGATTACAAATATATAATCGAAGTATCGTTCAAATCTGTTCAGTGGTGTAAGAGAAATTTCTTAGTCACTGCAAATTTCGGCACGAATTGCCGTATAATTCATGAATGAAGGTGAAATGGAAAATTTTTCCACGAGCTAAACATCACCGTTAGGTCCTGCTGAATACGTGTACCAACTTTCATCGAGCTGCGTTCATTAGTTTGAGACGTATTCCTTGGTCACTGAATTTGGAGATTGGCCGTGAGACCGGCCGCAAGACCGGCGGCGTGTTCGGCCGTGAATTTGTCCGAGACGTTTAAGAGTTGAGAGCAGGAATTAAAAAATTGGCACGAGCTAAACATCACCGTTAGCCTACAATGATTATGTATACCAAGTTTCATCGAGCTACGTCCAGTAGTTTGGGAGATAATAATAGTAATAGCGGTTTCAACGTTTATTAGGCCATAGGCCAGTCGCTGATTCTCAACATCCACAGCTTGTTGCGGTCTCGAACTCACTGATTCAAATTCTGCTGTGCTATACCGCCCGGCCTCCTTGCCGATTCTGACCAGAAACTGGCGCACAGAGCTGGGATCGAACCCGCACCTCTCTGCACGTCTCGGACAAAAAACGCGGCCTCTCTCACGGCCGGTCTCGCGGCCGTGATTCCAAATTCAGTGAGCGTGGAATATCTCGCAAAATACTGAACGTAGCTTGATGAAACTTGGTACACATAATCATTAGAGCCTAACGGTGATGTTTAGCTCGTGNAACAATAACATATAATGACGATGGGATAAGACAAAAGGGAACTGAAAGTGACTAAATTGAAAACATCCTGATAAAAACTAACCTTTAGTAAAACTGAAATAAGAATAACTAGCATGGCGACTAAAAATGATATTCAACAAAGACAATAACAACCCTACCTAAAAAAATTAAATACAACTACGTAAGACGAAAAGTCGAAACAATGTTGTCTTAGGGTAAACGCGGTATATTCCGACACATTAAGGACGCAGCGAGAAATGAAATACTATAAAAAAAAACGTATGCATTTCCTAAGTTCTGTTGCCTTCACATGACTCTCAAAACACTTCACTACGCGTCAGCAACACTACTTGCTAGAGTAAGGTACTGCAGCAGTGCAGCTGCTTGACAGTTGAAACTGCCAAGTCAGTGAAGTAGCAATGAGCTGATCCATGAAATGCTGCATCAGTCACAGTGAGTCACTCAGTGCAATGAAGCAAATTCAAACTGAATTTAACAAGCATTGTTACAGGATTAGCACTAAAATGGAGAATCATTTAGAAGCCATTCATTAATGAGACAAAACCTCCATGTTCATGTTCACTTTCACCTGTTCTGTAACCACTGACTAAGTCCGCTTGCAAAACTAAAAAAATAACATACTTTTTTCTCATGTTTTTTAATTTGTCATTGAAACAATTTTTTACGAATAATTTTTAGAAGGTTCAGCCCAATATTCTTGATTCAGATTGGGATAAGCATAGGTTATGAAAGGTCAACTATGTACATATGCATTCAATTCTCAACAGCAAGTTGGCAACAGTTGAGTTTTGAATTTATCCAACAGTTTAGAATTTATCTAACAGTTTTCTATCTTCAGACTGTCAAATTTTAATAGAGTATAGACTTGCTACAAAGTACAACTATTGAGAAACTAATCTCTCCTCATTTCATTAATGCAATTTTCACCATTTACCTAGTATATTCCTCCTGATGACGTCATCCACCTCAAGCTTCTGTTGGCCTCTCATTGAGTGAAAAGGTGGTGGAATTCATGCAACAACTTATTTGAATCACTTTGCATGCACAGTTGATTGAATAAGTTCATATTGTATTTTACAATTTATATATTTTTTGCCATAATTCTTTATAACAGGATTTATGTAACAGTCTGCCATCTTCAAAATGTCAAAATTTATTGTGTATAAAACTGTCTTTTATTAATGTTCTATTTTCAATTCCAGAGTTTAACTATAAATTTTTGCAATGGAAGGAGAAAATGTTCGGGCAGAAAAAAATGACCCTATGATAGAAAATCTTGGGTTGGATCAGGTTTCCCTTTCCAGCAAGGCAGAATGTGTTTCTAATTCTGTTGCATGCTTGTCTCTGAATGAAAAAGAATTTAAAGAAACCTTAAGTAATGGCCAGCTAAAGTGTGAAGATGATGATAATTCAAAACCTCATGACTTGGCTGATGCAAGAGGACAGGGCTTTCTGTAAGCAACATTGAAAGACAATTTATTGATAAGGACTGGATATTTTTAGTTGATATATACATTGCATGCTGAGTATTAAATATACATGCTGACTTTACCTTAGTTACAGTAAATCATTTACAAATAAATTTGAACAAGATAATGTTACTACCATAAAAAAATTGACTTTTATTCAGAAACTTCCCTGGTAGGTAAACATTAAAATGACTATTAGCAGTAGGCTTTTAAACCATTAAATATGGCCTTTATTTCAGCCCATTGCCAGCCTATGGTTCTTCTACTGGCCAGTCAAGAAGAGTCATCCCAGCACACACCCCTTGGAAGAATTTGTACTACAAAATGGACAGTCAGAAGAGAGGTTATTGTCTTGTCTTCAACCACAAAAATTTCCATCCCAATCTTGACATGGAAGTAAGTTCATGTCTAAAATTTGGTCAATAAATAGGTAACATTTTCTCTTCCAGTTTGGTTCTGTTATATCTTGTTAGCTAAATTAATGATGAAAATATATTTGTCAGTTTCCAGCAGCATATTTATGGATAAAATTTTTTCAGTGGCTGCCACTAATGAAAAAAAAATGTATTTTCTTGGACAACACATTTAAATATAGTGTATTATATATGATTAAGGATATAATTTTATCATAATATATTCAATACATAATCCAATGCTCCCAATTATGTTAGATATACCTAATGCAAAATAATAATTGATGGGAAAAATTGTGCTGACGTATTTTCAGACACGTTTTGGAACAGACAAAGACCGGGATGATATTGTGAATTTTTTCACCACTGAGCTCAACTTCACTGTTCAAGTTTTCAATGACTTGACTCTGGATTCACTTAAGAAACAGCTTGATTATTGTAAGTACCTGCAATGCTGGAAACCAGCTAAATAAAAATTAAGAATCAAATAGTGTTCTCTATTACTAAGAAGTACAGATCAATCAGGTGCATTGCTCACTTCCAACATTGCTTATACTAGTAATGTAACAAGTGATTCATACTTCTCATCCTAATTTAATATATTCATTAAATGTACTTATTTTTCACACTAGATGCTTTAAAAGACCACAGTGCCTATGACTGCCTAGTTGTCTTCTTCTTGAGCCATGGAGAAGATGGCGTGTTCTATGCTCAGGATGCAGCTTTCCGCCATGATGAGCTCTTTGACGTGTTTGATGGCACCAACTGCCCAACTCTTGCTGGAAAGCCCAAGATCTTCTTTATTCAAGTAATCCCTTGTCATTATTGACATTTATAGTTCTACATTATTCAACCATTTGAAATCTTGAAACCTGCAATGAATTTTTTCTTTTGTTATTCAATTTTCTTGTTTTCCTTCTTTCAATATCACATTTAAAATTATTCTCTCCCTGTATTGTTCTTAGCATTGATATTTATTAGGTCCATCTTGGTCATATTATTATTATAGTGTTTTTGCTTATAAATATTCTCTATTGAAAGTAAGGCTTTTTGGAATTGCTGATACAGATAATATCAACCGATGGTTTAGTGTACAGGCATATCAACTGATTGTTTAATTTGCAGGCATATCAACTGATGGTTTAGACTAAATAGTGTACAGGCCTATCAACTGATTGTTTAGTGTGCTGGCATATCAACTGATGGTTTAGACTAAATAGTGTACAGGCATTTCAACGGTTTAGTGTTCAGGCATTTTAAATGATTATTAAGTGTACAATCAATCAGTCATACCAACTGATTTAATACCATCCAGGCATGTCGTGGAGGTCAGATGGACCGCGGTGTCCTGATGGTTGAACAGACTGACTCTCCAGGGTCAGAGTATAAGCTTCCCGTCACTGCTGATTACTTCACCATGTGGAGCACTGTGCCTGGTACATGCCTGCATGCTGGAGATCATCACGTCTCCCTTATCTGGTTGAAAAAATTAATCAAGGATGAAACTTCCTTTTCTGATTAGCAAGCAGATTCATCAGCCTGTTGATTTTGGCTACCTTGAACAACGAAGAAGAGCTGAGAAGAACATTGTAAAAAACGGCTTGCATAGAATAGCTATCTTCACTAGTGTTGGTCGGCAATGTTGACATAGAAAAAAAAGCAAAACTTGACAAGTCTTTTGATTGTTGGTGTTTACATAGGAAAGAATATTTTCAAGGTAATTTCTCAAAACTGGCTTACATTTTTTGGTTTCAGGTTACTACAGCTGGCGCAGGATTAGGGTCCCAACGCCAAATCTTGATCCCATAACCAAAGGTTCATGGTTCATACAGTCGCTGCTGAAGGTTCTGCGCAGCCATGTCACACAATATGATCTCGGATCCCTCCACGTCCTAGTGAACCAACACATGATCGCGGAATACGAGAGCAAAACGCCTTGTAAGTCAGACTCAAATTGGTCTTCTCCACAGTCGTGAATTCCATCATGACTGGATTTTTTAATCAAGCAGCAAACAACGGTATTATTGATGTGGTAACTTATAATTAATGTTAACTACGTAGAAACTTCATCTCCCTGCACAGTAGCTCAAAAATTGCAAAGTAACTAAAAAATTAATATCGCGTTCTTCAGTGGTTATCCTGTTCTTTATAGAAGCCAAAGTCTTTTTATCTTGGTTCTCTGTAGTACCCAGCAAGTTTCTTCTATCGTTTTTTGTCTAAAAATATTTGTTTCTTCAAGCAGGTTTCGTTGAAGTTCAGAGATTTTTTTTAATTGGTAATTTTCTTCTTTGTTTTTTTCAATAGATCGAAGAATATTTTTCGTTTGCGGGGGTAAATCGAAAATCAGCGTACCGATGAACATTTTTATTTCTTCAACAACGTTTCGAATGTATCAATCATTCACTATCAAGTTAGAAGGTGCATTGAGTGATGGAATTTTGGTCGATATAAGTACAAAATCATGTAAATAGGTTACTACTCGAAAATAAAATGATAGAAATAAGTACGAAATCGCACAAATATTGGGTTAATCAAGAATTGAAGCACCAAAGGAGTCCATCACCCGTACGATGCTCGAGGAGTGCACCAGCGTCGTCATGAGATGCCCCGACGCCAACCGACTCGCGGTAGCTGAGGCCCTCATCATTAAAGATAGCACCCCAGCCAACAACCTACAAACTACTGGATTTGTCAGAATCTTGAGACTGTTCGGTGTGATTTTTGGTGCTTTAACTCTTGATTATCTCAATATTTTATCGATTTTGTAATTTTTTCTATCATTTTTTTATTTTCGAGTAGTATTCTATTTACATGATTTTGTACTTTTGTCGACCAAAATTTCATCACTCAATGCGCCTTCTAACTTGATAATGAATGATTGATAAATTCGAAACGTTGATAAAGAAATAAAAATGTCCATCAGTACGCTGATTTTCGATTTACCAGTGCAAACAAAAAATATTGTTTGATCTATTGAAAAAAAAAAAACGAATAATAAAATTGCCAATAAAACGAATTATCTGGTATATTTGTCAGAACCTTGAGACTGTTCGGTGTGATTTTTGGTGCTTTAACTCTTGATTATCTCAATATTTTATCGATTTTGTAATTTTTTCTATCATTTTTTTATTTTTGAGTAGTATCCTATTTACATGATTTTGTAATTTTGTCGACCAAAATTTCATCACTCAATGCGCCTTCTAACTTGATAATGAATGATTGATAAATTCGAAACGTTGGTAAAGAAATAAAAATGTCCATCAGTACGCTTATTTTCGATTTACCAGTGCAAACAAAAAATATTGTTTGATCTATTGAAAAAAAACGAATAATAAAATTGCCAATAAAACGAATTATCTGGTCTTCAACGAAACCTGCTTAAAGTAACAACTTTTGCCAACCTATACTAACAAATATTTGTTATTGCAGCTAAACCTGCTACGGACAAAATGAAACAAGTTTCTTCATTCGTCTCCACGGGCACGCACCTCCTGCACTTCTTTCCCATTAGTGAAGTCTCTTTGCATAACAATGAGCCAGCAAAGCCTGGAACTACCGAGCCTAATGCTGAATGCCATAAAAAAAAGCGTTTCGGCATAGTCTCGGATTATTTCCGAGCTCGTTGGCGGAGACTCAAAAAGTTTTCATGAAAAGATTGTGAATTCTGAAGTCTCAGGAGACGGACAATTTCGCCTTGGGTGCTCTTGCTTGGCTGTGTTGTTTGGAAATTGATAAGTTGGTTAGAGTTCAGTTCTCTAATTACTGTTGTTTGACGAATTTAGAGATGATCATTAACTCTGTATGAGCATCGTATGAAAATGGAATATCATTTTTAATTAGTCTGAATTTGTCTTATTAAGCTCTTCTATTCTAATTTATTTTTTGCATTTATCAGAATTGAAGAATTGGCGTCAGATTGTCACATTTCTTGAAAACGGTATTAAAGTCAATTCTGGTATAATGTTAGTAATTGGTGGATTTTGTTTTAACCTATTATGTCAATTTACATTTTTTCTTATGATATTATGATTGATGTTATGTATCTCATTATGATATTATTGATATTGAAGGTAGCATTATAAAGCAGTGCAATAGTTTCATATAGAAGTTCGTGCAAAGTTTTTTTCGCATATTTACACAAAATTTCTTCTATAATATGAGTATAAAATTATTATAATTAGTTCATATTTTATTTATGAAAATTAGTTGTACCTTTTTTCTCAATTTGTTCATTTGCTTGAGGTTGTAATGAACTGATGGTAACAATTTAGTGTTCAACGCCTCCATTCCTATTTGATTTGCTGTAAAGCTATCATCTGACCGTGTAGTAATCCGTCCACTTTGCTATGCTTCCACTGGCGCTGGCCTAGATGTGTTCAACTAATATTGCATTCTCAATTATAATAACATCAACCAAGTGAAACTCCTCCAGTAGTCGAGTTTGAAGTTCACGCTTTAAATTAGGTATCTGCAATGGCCTCGCTTATTTTTTATGATAAATAAGACAGGATGATTTAAACGCCATATAAAATAGTAAGGTTATGTGTTTCTGTTTACTTCCATTTTATGATTATCTAAATATGATTTAAAAAAGATTTGTTTTAATAGGGTTTGTGTTTCTGCTTACTCCCATTTCATAATTATCTAAATATGATTTAAAAAGTTCTGTTTTGATAGGGTTTGTGTTTCTGCTTACTTCCATTTTATAATTATTTAAATATGATATTAAAAAATCTGTATTGATCTCAGGTGTGTAAATCTCGAGAATTCTTTATCCGTGATCTCTTGTACAGGTTGGTACAAGAAACTTGTACTTGTCTGCGTCCAAGAAAATAATAGTGTGATAATGATAACTTCGCAAATAGTGAGCTCAATAACTACCATCTCAAATAGTGAGCTCAGTAGCTTTCCTCTCAAATAGTGAGCTCAATAGCCACCCTCTCAAATTGTTAATGAGCTCAATAGCTAATTAAGACGTCATGATACGATTATAAAGACCTACTTTAATAGTGACCTGCTCAGTTAACTCTGCTCAAATTTTGCACAATAATAAAACTTTACCCATTTTTTCAAATGCCTTGTGATGTACAGCAAATCTACCCATAGCTCTGTAGTCTTGGGCATTTAAACAGTATTCGTAGACTAGAAAGATATTATGTAATTTTTNTATTTGAGCCAGAGACAATTTTTCCCAACATTCCCTGTTTTCAAACTATGTAATCACGCTTGTGCCTATATCCTTAAAACATAATATTACTTGAAATACAATGGTTTATTATATTGCGTTTCGTTGACATATCCTGATAATCCGTTTTGTGTGACAAATTCTAATTCCTCTTGGCGCGAAAGTTGCGGGTGATTTATACAGAAAATATCCTAACTTAATTACTTCAAATGAGACAAGTGCTGGGAAGGCTCCAATTTTTGGAAAGTTGTTATACCTTCTGCTGGCTTCCTGAAGGATCGTTAAAAACGCGTCCATGTATCTTTGTGACTGTGGGCATTGCGTTTTTGCATCATTCTCAATGGCCGTGTGAAAATAAAGACTATCAGTGTTGTGTCTAGCAATGCATTGAATTGCTAAGCAAGAGCTTAGAGAAAAATGATGGAATATGTCAATATCATTGTTCTGGTGAATATTTCGCTGGGGAATAATTGAAAAAAATACTGTTAATAAATTCTTTTGATTGAGACAGTTCAGAGTGAAGAAGATTGACTAATTGTACCCTTGTTGTTACTAGAGAATAACGTTCATTGTGTCACGTATAAAGTGAAACCGGATGCTGAGTAGATGAGATTTTGACCTGCAGCTTGGAGGCTCGCAAATGTTGCTTAAACAAGCAATATTTAATAATATAAATAACAATAGCAATTTCGGCGTTAATTAAGCCGTAGGCCTGTCGCAGAACATTCACAGCTTGTTGCGATCTCGAACACTCAACGCCCTGTTCCAATTTTGTTGTGCTTAAGAATAGAGCTATGATCGTACCCACGCGTCAATGCTTAATCTTTGTAGCGTCAAATGTCAACTCTGGGCCACCCTGCCCTCACAACATTATAATGTTTGCTTATACAAGCAAAAACTTATCTCTAAATTCTTGGCAAGACTCTAGAATCTAGAATGACGAGAAATCTACCAACGCTCCTCACTCACATATGCAGTTATTGCATTTTTTGGTTGATCTGCGCAGAGTGACTAAACTTCACTGATCGGATGCACTAAGACTAAGGAATGCCTTAGTGCTTAGTCGATTCGAAGTTGATTAAGTTAGTTCCGCAAAGTAATATATTCAATAAGTCTTCTCGTCTTGAGAGCTTCTACCGCTCAAAAAGTTGATTCTAGTAAACTGTGCTGACGCACGTAACGTCATTTCTAAGAATAGGTCTTTCGAGGCCGAAAATGTTTGTACTAGCATTAATAAAACGTAGCTATTATTTTGTATTCGTTCATCTGAACATTTTTAAGCTTTAGAATCCATTTATATAAATCACGCAATCTGACTTCTTCAAGAATGATCAAAGAAAGAGCATTGGAAAAATTATGAGGTTTTTAATTTTTCAACTTTTAATTGAAGAAATTGGTTGGTTTTAGGGAGTGTCGGATGCCGAATTTTATAAAATGCAGCCATTGAGGCAAAGATTGTTACTGTTAGTGGCGGCATGGCTGCCGGTGTGAGAGTATGCAATATTGTGTTCTCTTCGGGCATCAGTTGGAAGCTTGGCGATATTTGTTATTCTATAATGATTTATTATCGAGATTCAGTTCGAATTTGGGATATAATTCAAATATTAGGTAGTAAGTTACTAAGTTCAACTTAAAATCAGTGAAATTTTGTTGGTAAAACTATTTAGTAGGTACTAAGAATCGTTCTTACTGAGACGAATTCAAACCTGGAAAATAGGCCTAGGTTACGTATATACCTGCGGGCTGCAGTAACTGAGTAAGGTTTTGTCTATAAAGCTACTACTACCTTATTTGTATTACTGTTTATTAGTGGTATTGCGTAGTGTGTAGTATCTGTAGTTTGAATTGTTTTATGCTTGGAGGATATTTTGATTGTTGGTTGCTGATGCTGAATGAATTGAATGTTGGTTGTTGAATGAAAATTATGAGAGCAGGAAATTTTTGCCTGTAGTCTGTAGAAATAATACAAATGAGGAAAGGAATGTCAACTTCATTATGTTTGGTTTAACTCATCAGCTTCAGCTCATCAAAGCTTAAAAGTGACAATGTGACTTGTGAGTATGTGACATTGAATGCTTTTCAGCCTTTCTTCCTCAGCCACAGCCCGCAGGTCTTCATTCTCAATTATGCAAATAGACATTGCCCATTGGCTGCCGGGCAGTACCGCAGTAGTGCAGTACTGGTACACTAGGACAAAAGCCCCACAAACATGGGCAGAAACGCAGAATCATGCACTAGGCAAAAGCCACCTTTAAATTAGACTCTTTATTAGTATTACTGTATTAGTATAAAATAAAGACCTGACCTATGAATCTATGATCTCTCTATCAGTCTTATGTGTGATAATCATAATGTGTCTATGCCACTATTGCCCCAGCCCCCTGCCCCCTGGCCCATCCTGTCTTCCCCAATAGTAATAGTAATAAGTATGAAAGAGTCAAAAGTTTGCTTGGAATTTTGTGAAACAAGTCATGAAATGATTTATGAAAGCTGAATGTTGCATGTAATTTTTAAAAAGATCTTTCTAGTATTGCAGATTGGATTCTGCAGAGTGCAGAGTTAGGAAATTTTTTCCCCAAGGATGAGGTATTTAGGCCCAAAGCCCCAAATGCCAAAGTGACTAATGGCTGTGCTTCTATTGCCAATATTATTTAGAATTTATATTAAAAACTACACGAATCTTGCTGATTTTGGAAAAAAATGTGTAAAAATGTATTTAAAGATAGATGTCCACAAGACCATTTGATAAAATATTTAAATTTTGATGCCGATGAGTTGTTAAACAGGCATGAGGCATTGTCTGCTGGCTCTGCTATGCCATGAATTGTATTTAGTATCTTTCTGAGCTGCAAGTAGAGCTTTCCTGTCCTTCTTTAGGGTAATAGGGCTCCATTATATGAATTATTTCCAGTCTAATTGTTATCTATCATCAAGATTAACTAATAATGATTAACTTGAGCCATGAGATTCCAAAATTAGTGAAAATATATCACATTAGAGCTGTAAGATTTTATTAATAAGCAGGAATTTTTTAATCTTCCCTGGCTTTGAGTTTTTCTTAGCTTCACATCATGTAATTAGTCCAGATTCATGAGCTTCTGCCTTGTTTTCAATTTCCACTGATTTGGCTTCATTCAAATTCAATGGCATTCAGGTTTCAGATTTTTGGGAGTATGGTTCAAGTGAGAATTTGCTGCTTCATAACATCCATCAACTGGATTCAAAATCATCATGTGCTCAAAACAAAAATTCTAGCTGAGTTATAAAGGGATGCTTCAAAACTTCATGTTAGGTCTATAAATTCAATGCAATAGGTATATTTGTTCACTTTTATGCCTTTTCCAAATTCCATTTCATACCTCTTTCAAATTCCATTCTATATCTCTTCCAAATTCCACTTTATATCTCTTCCAAATTCCATTTTATACATCTTCCAAATCCCATTTTATACCTCTTCCAAATTCCATTTTATACCTCTTCCAAATTCCATTTTATACCTCTTCTAAATTCCATTTTATACCTCTTTCAAATTCCATTTTATACCTCTTCCAGATTCCATTTTATACCTCTTCCAAATTCCATTTTATACCTCTCTCAAAATCCATTTTATGCCTCTTCCAAAATCCATTTTATACCTCTCCCAAAATCCATTTTATACCTCTTCCAAATTCCATTTTATACCTCTCCCAAAATCCATTTTATACCTCTTCCAAATTCCATTTTATACCTCGTCCAAATTCCAGTTTATACCTCTCCCAAAATCCATTTTAAACCTCTTCCAAATTCCGTTTTATACCTCTTCCAAATTACGTTTTATACCTCTTCCAAATTCCGTTTTATACCTCTCCCAAAATCCATTTTATACCTCTTCCAAATTCCGTTTTATAACTCTTCCAAATTCCGTTTTATACCTCTTCCAAATTCCTTTTTATACCTCTTCCAAATTCCCTTTTATACCTCTTCTAAATTACATTTTATACCTCTTCCAAATTCCATTTTATACCTCTTCTAAATTCCATTTTATGCCTCTTTCAAATTCCATTTTATACCTCTTCCAAATTCCATTTTACACCTCTTCCAAATTCCATTTTATACCTCTTCCAAATTACATTTTATACCTTTTCTAAATTGCATTTTATACCTCTTCCATATTACATTTTATACCTCTTCCATATTCCATTTTATACCTCTTCCATTTTCCAATAATCTTACTAGGTCACTTGGTTGGTCCAAGTGTCTCAGCCATGTTATAAAGGAAAAAGCTCACATTTACTTGTAGTTTTTATGTATTATGTTTACTGGTTAATTATCCCTATGAGTGAGTGCAAATACAGAGTAGCCATTACTGAGTGATCATTAGAAAGTATTGTTTGATTTAGTGAGTATTCAGTCCAGGCATGAGCAGCATCATTGGCTGCAATAATTTTGGCAAGTTGCTGACCTATTGTTTATAGCATAGGGTTAGTAGTCTGGAGTTTACAAATTGTTAATGTTTCATGTATTAATGTTAGGCATTCAATTTTTCTGTGTTCAGTTAGTACAATCAAGTTTTGTTCTTCTGCATTAACATTCATTTATTGTATTGCTGTGTTATTCAGTATTTTACTCAATAATTATTTCTATTATTTATTTATTTTGTTACAGTAATTTTGTGTGCCCATGCTCTTTAGATTCCAGATATTTCTCTGCTCTATTCATTAATACAATTCTTACATTACTTATAAATTGGAGTTATTCTTATTTTGCATATCAATAGACAACTTGAAGCATTGTAGACAACTGTCTTTCATTGCCTCTGCGCTAATATTCAGTTGGTGGTGAGATACAAGGTCTCCGTTCACTACCCACTAAGTGCGCCGGCCATCAATAATCATAGTGGTTTCATAGTTTGTTCACTTCTGAAGGCATGGTCCAACTCATGGAACTCTGATTTCTTAAATGAACTTCATTGTCATCAATTAAAAAACGTTCATATATCCATTGAATATCATATTGTTTCTAAGATATTACTTTGTTCTGCAGCTTCAAAGTGATTTATTGGAATGACGTGGCTCATTGACAAATATAAGGGTCATGGTTCAGTTGATTTCTCTATGACAGAATGCAAACAGTTTGTGCTTGTCACCCTTACATCAGCAGCATTGATTGTACTCGTACATCATGATATGATAGAGAATTTATTCAAAAGTTCAGTTCATCTTGCGCGATTGTCACGACTCCGTATGTACGAGATTGTATTGTTACGACTATACGACAATCACTCATGAGGTCATTCAAGTCGAATTTTTCACAATTTCAAAGGTGGTAGCCTTCGATCGCGCAATAACGTTCATATTTTTTTCTGTCATCGAAGAGAACGAGAAATATTGATTGAAACTTGTATACAATCAAGCTTATTGAAACTATATTACTGAAGGTAATACATATTAAGTTAAAATTTCGCTAGACGAACTGAGTAAATCAGTTGTTCTAGGTCGTTACTCCAAAGTGTATAATTTGTTCCTGAATTAGGCGTCACTAGTATTGATTAACGTTTAGTCAGTGTTCTTTACTTATATGTCAGAAATTCGTACTTTAACACGATACAAATATTCAGTTGACTATAGAGTTGATATTGGGGATGACAGCGTTGTGTTGTATGGCGAGCTGCGCGATGTAGTCAATCGATGAGCTCGAGGCGCCAGGTGTTTACAGCGAAACTTCATTTCACTGTATAAGGTTTCTGGCGCTGCGAAGTCCATGTTTCGACAACACCAAACATGGTGCATCCAAAGCCAATCATTAAAATTGCATCTACGTGATTCGGTATTCAATGAAATCGTATTTTATTTTCGGACAAATTAAACTTAGGTGTTGGGCATCAATTCAATTGATATCAGAAGGATTTTCAAGATGTACTCGAATGGATACCAGTAATAGTCTGGTATCAAGACAATTCTTCATCGAGGTTCGTTATTTTTTTTAATATCGCTTCTGGATTTTTTTTTTGTTTCGTTGGTATTCCGCGATGTTCCTGTATCTTCAACTTGACGCTTTCTTCAGCTTAATCTTTCCTATTATGTTGTATTGATATGAATTTTTTACGATGATTTTTTTTCATTTCAGGTCAAAAGAGGGAATGACAGTGAAATAATTCCAATTCTGTTAGTTGAATCTAATTTTCTATAAATGTGTCTCAGTGCAGCGTATCATACAATGTTGCTCGTTTTTCCAACAAACCAAGATGAACATAGTAAGCAGTTTCGTACAGTGAAGTCGAGCGCAACGAGTGTGAAGACGTTTTAACTATAACAGCCTTGTGATCATAATTATCATCACGGCCATCAAACCAACCTGTGACATGTTACCTAGTCTCGCGCGATTATTAAATTTGGCTCAACTTAAAGTCGATTTACATATCGACAACCATATGAACTGTTCCTGTTACCCCACTTCTACAAAGTCTCTTCTGTATTTTATCCCACCTCGACCTCTTGTCTGGTCCGAAATTATCTTCGATCTCTTGTGACCGACTTGCTTGCTTTCGGCTTGACACTCTTCTTTAATCAGCATTTTTCACGACCAAATTCATCTATCTTAATTTGTTTTCTCTTCAGATTTTCAATCTAAGCTATCTTAAGCCAAAATGATCTTCCAATGCTACAGAAAATTTTCGGAAAATAGAAGCAGAAATTATTAACGCTGTAACACCAGGACTGTTACATAAATTCTTCGAAGTTTCGTCTCTTCCAAGGCCGGTGAGTAAACTATTCATAAGAAGCAGGTTCTGCTCATAACTATATCCTTATTTATTCCCATTAATTCCAATTAAGTTGTTAACAAATAGTAATAATTTCTCTATTATTTACCAAAAATCGTTTGTTTATGTGAAGACGGATGCCGTTAATTTATTATAGGGTTTTTCCGAGCGCGTTTACGTACTGACCTTTCACACCGGTATTTACCAAGATCTCAACGGGTCTTTATTTAACTAACATCACTTTACGTAGAGCATTAACAAAGATAAGACGATTCAGTGAAGAAATTCTCGACTGCCGTGGAATATTCACCCCCATGAATGCCGGAGTCGGTTCCATATGTATATGTTGCAAAAAATGTAACTCAGCACTCACTGCAGTGAGTGACAGAGAGCGCATTTTCTCGTCGACGAAAACTTGAGGTCACGGACGGACAGAAGGACGGACAGACGGACATGGCGAGCACAATAGTGCATTTTTTCCATAAATGAGAAAATGCGCTAAAAATCCTGTTTCTCACTAAATTTATCAACGACTATTCGTCTCTTCCAAGGCCGGTGAGTAAACTATTCATATGGAGCAGGTTCTGCTCATAACTATATATCCTTATTTATTCCCATTAATTCCAATTTAGTTGTTAACAAAAATTTATAATTTCTCTATTATTTAGCAAAAATCGTGTGTTTTTTATGTGAAGACGGATGCCGTTATTTTATTTTAGGGTTTTTCCGAGCGCGTTTACGTCCTGACCTTTCGCACCGTTATTTACAAAGACCTCAACGGGTCTTTGTTTAACTAATATCACTTTAGGTAGAGCATCAACAAAGATAAGACAATTCAGTAAATGAATTCTCGACTGTCATGGAATATTCATCCCCATATGAACGCCGGGGTCGCTTCCATATGTATATGTAACAAAAAAATCCTGTTTCTCACTAAATTTATCAACGACTAGATTTACTGGCTTCTGATGTGTAATATCAATAGTTTAAATTTTTATTTGTGCTTCAGTATTCTCCCGTACGTAATAGAACTCAATCCGTTGCTTGACAACGCCAATGTATTTGAGTTTGTTTCTACAACCAGTCGAAATTGACAGTTGTATTTACTTACTTTAGTTACTTAACCTTGCAAGTAGGTTCGGCCTTTGTCTGACTATGCCGACCGAGGTATATGTGAACCCAAAACCCTCGGTATCCTGGCAACGACCTGCCGATCGCTTCGATAGCGGGAGCAAGTCTGATGGTCGATCTCAGAGCGCGCTAACAGACTTACTATATTTGCTGCCTGAGCTCCACAGTACGCTCTCTATTTCGTTAGCACTCATAGCACTCTGTGCTTTTCATATTAAAATCCTACCGAGCACTCCTGGTATGGATCTCTGTTAAAAGTGTGCGTGGTTTTTTCTTTCATTAAAATCCAACAAAACACTCTCGCCATATTTCTGTGAAGTTTGCGGGTAAAATTTTCGTCTCGATGGCCATGACCTTAACTTTGATTGATGGATTGTAATCACATACTCTGGTTATGGTGAATTGTGACATTAAAATATGATATTGCGTATTTTAATGTCGGGAAAAATAGGTTATCGTTCATCGTTATTCTAATCAAGTACGGAGAAAAATGGGACGTCATTTAAACTTTACGACGGATCGGCGACAGCGAAATCGGAAATGCGTTTACTTACGTTGGGTTTTGTAACGATTGTAACTAATATTGTTTCGCTGTTTGTTTTATGACCCGTTTTACTCACTGCTACGGTCTAGCTCGTATATTCGATTATTATTATATTTTCAACGTGAACAGCGTCTGGACTGAAAGTTCATGCAGACCTAATTAATTGCAGTGTTATGCCACATCTCGTGAGTTGAGCGATTATTTTTTATTTCATAAAATATTGCGACTTCGTTCTGTCGTTGTTCATGTTGTTCTTGGTTATAGTTGCAGGTTCGTTACTGTTATACCCGTTTGCTATAAAAATGTCGGTGTTCATTGTAAAATTTTCTTGAAATTCATGCCAATTGTTTTAGGTTGTATATAGGAAATCTAAACGTTATTCACGTTTAGCTTTCTACTTTCTCTTTGTTCGCGTCAATCAGAAGTGTTATATATTTTTTAAGATAATTTATAAATTATTACCTTGAATAATACACTTAAAAATTTTAGTATTATTTTATTTTAATAAATTTATTACCTTCATGAAGCCCTCATCAGCTTCATCTTAAGCCTTAAAATTATGAAATAAAAAGAAAGGAACGTTTAATGCCTGTGCATATAGTCATTAGTCAGTTTAGCTACACTCAAAGAAATGAGTGAGACTTGATCAAAATAGCAATGCACTCTTTGCTTGTGTGTGCCATCCTGTCCCAGTTCTGTCCGGCAAAAGGGTGTATCAGTGCTACGTGCAGAGAGTGTGTCAGTATTTGGACAATATGACCGATGCATTCTTCTGAGTGTATGATGAGTAGATATGACGGCAGGTAGATAGATGATATGATGATTTATATGTATAGAAGATATAACAATGCTATGTATTGGTGAGATAGAAACTTGATATGAAAATGATATGTAGTGGCGATTATCTAGAACTCGCTCCTATTGATTTGCCTTGCATTGATCTTGTGCGAAGACGTATTTTCTAGAAATCTAGGCGACCATTCATCTTGAATACGACTTATAGGGCATTTCCGCCTAGTAATATTTCATGACGTTCGATTGGGTGATGTCGAATGCATGGTGCCCTTTGTAGTGGACTTTGAACAACTTCTGTTGTGGTTTTCGGAGAAAAAGTAATGACTTAAAGCTTCATTTTTTAAGGGTAAATCGCCTGTATAATTACTGGTTTTCATGCGAGATTATGTGGTACCGCAACGCTGGGCAAGGAAATGTTGCGCCTGGATGGATAAAAGTTTGTAATAAACATGTTTCAGAAAATAACTTGCTGAATAAAGTTGATGAGAAGAAGAGTTCAGATGGTTCAGAGATCACTAGCCTCAATTTCTGTTAGTTATTTGCAGTAAATATCTGCTTACAGAATCTAAAAAAAAATATAAAAATAGGGACAAATTCAACAGTCATTCCAGAATTGTAAGGACTTTAGTTGGATTTTTCTTCTCAAATCTCAATTATATAGATGTAATGTTCATATGTCAATGTAACGTTTCGTATTCTGATGACTCAGAATTTTTATTAATAAACTTTTCAGGTTCGCTTATGTTACAGGCGTACGTTCTTCGTGCTGATTGAAATTAGCCAAACATTGCCCAACTAGCTATGCACATTTTGCCTTATGTGGGTCATTTTAACCCAGCTTGGCGCGGCAAAAATGCGTATCAGTGCTACGGCAAAAAAAAGAGAACGTGTCACTATTCGGACAATGTGACCCATTCAGTTTTTCGAGTGTGCCGACAGGAAGATTTTCTCAAGTCCGCCTGTGCATTATAACGAACCTGACGAACTGCAGGGTGACATTAGTCGTCGGTCTCCTTCATTCAGTTCCGTGAAGTTCAACAATTCACTCTGCAACGTCACTGGTCAGTCATCCTCATTAAAAAACGAACGTTCGACAAATTATTTCCTCTCTGAAGCATTACTTCATCTGAAGTTTGTTCGAATCTTCAAGGTTGTTTCTACACTTATGAATCTGGTTCAAAGTCGTATAAGCTTCCTGCTATCGCGTTCTTTATCTCAGTTTATAATGGCCATAAATGCTAATACTTGCTTATTGTTTTACACACTTTCTGCTTCCCATAGAAAACGTTAGCACATCGTTGAAACATAGATTTAATTTGATTTAATTGCTAAGTAATTAATAGGTAAGCAAGCGTAAGAAACTTATGGTTTCAAAATCACCCATTTACTTCCTAGATGCTTTTTACTACGAATTCTGAATCGAGTTGTGATTTAAGGGTAGCCCTGATAATAGTAATGATTCAGTGTAGAAGCTATCATTACTTCTGATAAAAGTAATGACATATTGTATAGTTTTGAGTCCAGTGAAATCATTATTACGAACAATATTGAAGACACATTGTGTACTTATAAGCAATGTGCTCTTATAGATCAATATGTAGGCGTTACCACGTTGTTTGGCGTTGTACCAAGACGACGGGAAGATCTGGGGATTTTTTTTGTATTATTTTACCATTGCACTGCTGGCTAATATATAGTTCACTACAGAACGTAATGTGGTTTTTACGTTTACAGGTTGTCGCTTGCTCCATCCGGTCACATAAGGAGTGTACGCGTAGCCAAGTGTAGTATGTACCGTGTAGAATGTATGCGGTATACGTGGAATTGCAGGACCAACCTTGACGCTACCTGCATACCAATATTGTTTGGTTTCATGTCCCGCGTGTGGTTACTGAATGAATTCAGATTACCAAAGGGCTTGTAATTCTGGGTACGTTGTCGACCGTGATGTCAAGTCTCGAATTAAATAAATTTCAATGATGCCATGTATTTGTATGCGTGGGCTGAGGATGTTGCTGCCATTAGATTGTGCATGTGGAAGGAATTCCTGAAAAGATCTGTTGTGAAGAAAAAGCGTGTTCTGTTGTGATGAATGTTATGAAACTGGCCGCCACTTCTGATGCGAATATTTCGAAGAAGTAATGAATACATGTAACCTTCAAGTTGCTTCACTGTGGAATGAAAAACAGCCAAGTCGCTGCGTTGGTGTATACAAATACAATGGTTAGACTAAATAAGGAAACACCTGAGAAATCTACTAAATATACTTAGTTTGGTGTGGGTCCGCCTTTGCGACAATTACAGCCTCAATTCTTTGGGGTATTGTTGATTCATACAAAATGTGAATGGTTTCTAAAGGAATTTTAGCCCATTCTTCAGTTGAAATTCCCTCCAGCTCTTTTAGAGACGATGGTGGCGGGAATCGACTTCTGACTTGCATCTCTAAAATCGACAATAAATGCTCGATAATATTCAGGTCTGGTGATTGTTGTGGCAAAATAAGATGCTCAACTTCATTGGAATGTTCC